TGAAATAAAAATTATCCTAGTTACGAGTATAGTATGGACTATACTGTACACCAAAGAATTTTTTATTTATATTATGCACATCGTATATGAATACCATTAAGTTTTGTGTACGTACAAAAGCAAGGATAAATTTCAATCAAACATGATGTTCCATATATGTACATAGGATTCGATTTTATACAATAGAAATGTACAATAATCCCTTTTATAGAGAAATGCAAATTTTGTGACGCTATCAACTTTTGTTAATATAAATCAATCCTTTCATTATATTTTGATTATTTACAATTTCCAAAAGGAATGCAGATGAAGTCATATTTATTGCTGCCTCTTGAGCAAATCTATGCATTTTAATATGTATAAATGTATGCGTGTACATTTTTTGAAGGCAAAAAGTCAATGCCATTTTAGTTCTTTTATTATTGAGATGATAATTTTTTCTTTTCATGGAATTCAAGCACATAAGAATCTTGTTTTGACGTGAACGTTATGTATAAAATAATAATAATGAAAAAGTTAGATAAATGCACATTTGTAAATCTTCTTTAAAAAGTTTTATAGTAATGGATATTCATTATATAAACTAAAACATTTTTCCATGTTTTTGTATTCACTCTAAAAAATATTTAAAACACTTCCTAGTAGATACATATACATATGTATATTTCATAAAATTCACTTATAACATATAATATGTAAATTCTTTTTGTATACAATTTAAAATATAATATAAGTTATAAAAATTAATTTTTTTTCAGCAGTAATAAAATTTTTTCCGTACCCAATGCACGCGCTTTCAACTTTATTTTACTATTGCTACTCAAGTTGGGAAAATCTAATATCCTGTGAGTGAAAAAAAGGACCGACTTTTTTTTACTAACTAATGACAGTTAACAAGTGCGGCTTCTACAGTGCGCAATAACAATTTAAGACATTTCTTAATAAGAGAATTGAAAGAATGCATAAAGGAGATTTTCAACCCTTAAGCATCCGGTTATATTTTTAATGTGATAATTTATAATTTATAAATCGTATAGTTCCCCTTTTTTTAAATAAATATACTTAGTACAAATTTTCACTTTTTTTAAATAAATATACTTAGTACAAAAACTTCACTGATATATAAATAATATAACTTTACATATATCAAATTTCTAGTAAAATTTCACATATTTACACAAAACACAAGTAAATAAAATTTTTACACAAAATCGTGAACAGGAGTATTGATATTCTTAGTTCATATAATAATTATGGTAAATTTCAATTCTCTCAAAGGCATAGAAACTGTTTTATTTGATATCAAGTTTAAAATTTTTACTATCATCTTATTAGGAGATGACGACAATGAGTTGTTGAATAACTACTAAAATTTGAAATATTATACTTTAACACCTCCCAGAGTATCATCTACTTTATTACTTATATAGTATTATATATTGTACTATATAACATTTTATATAAACTACACAAAAAAAAAAAATAATTAAATTTTTGTGTATTTGCCATCGCTTTCTCAAAGTAACTGCCCGATTTGAATAAATTTCTATAGATAATGATTTAAAACTACTCGAGTTCACCAAATTAACTGTAATTTAACTCACAAACTTTAATTTTCAATCATTTATACACATAAACCAACTTTTATAGTGTTGTTTACTGTTCTTCTCAATTCAACTTAATTGTATAAAAATTTAACTCAATACAAATTGAAGAAGCGTGTAGCTAAACATAAGCACAGTGTGAAGCACATTAATCATATGGAATTTAAAACTGCGCTAACTTCAGATTGCATTTAACCGCAGCACGATCCAGATTCAGAAAAAAAAGGCGTTAAACCAAGAAAATAACCAACAAAAGGTCATATGTCATTGTGCCTAATGACATAAAGCTCAACTATAAGACAGATAAACAAATCTGCATTGAAGTGCATAAAAACACGTTCCATAAATCGGAAAACACTTTCCATAATTGGTACTTCTCCAAACAGGATAAGTATATAATTTCTGTATATATGTATTTGAAAATATAATTGTTATAAAATTTTATAACTATTTCTTTATCATATGTATTGAATTTGTTGTTATATTGCAAAAAGTTGTATTATATCACTACCCTTAAGATCATTATAGACTATAGTTAAAATATTAGTGATAATAAAATATATCTTTTAAAATTAATTTAAAAATGTGTTTTATTTAAATAGTTTACCATTAGCTCGTTCAAAATATGTAAATAAAATTGAGTCATTAAAAAAAACTGTACATATTTCATAAAATAATATTTAAAAATATAAACATTGCTATCGAACAAAAAAACATTGCTATACCACTAAAAGTTAGAAACAATCTGTTTTGTTATCAGAAAATGAGTAACAAAATGAAACTTTTTAAAGGTAATTATTTTTTATTAATATACAACAAATGTTTATACAACAGATATATTATGAAATTATGACACAAATTTGATATCAGCAGTTCATACGATTTAATACCATATTTTGAACTGTTTTTATAATAAAAAGTGATGACTTAATGTTAAACTAAGATGACAATTTCCAGATGATGTGTGGTTAAAAATCTATTTATTTATATATCTGACATGAATTAACTTTCTAATAAAACAATATTACAACCCAATAACCCACGTCCACTCCAAATTTTTGGTATTAATAATAGGCGCTGCAATTGATGTCCGCGACGTACTTTTAAATAAACTTTTTGATCTTTCATATGATTAACAACAGCTCCAATTTGATTAAGATTTCTCTCAAAATTACTTGCATTAATAGTTCCGAACTCAATTATTTCATCATCAACACATAGACCCTAGGAATTTTAAATAAATTTTATTTTAACACATTGAATATATTTTCACTTACTGCATCTTCTGCTGGTGACCCTGGACTTATAAGAGTGACTTTCACAATTGCAGGTGAAGCATTATCGCTGGCATTATGCGTACTGTTACCATCTTCCAATTGCAAGTTTGCTGTGACATTTGAAATATTTTGATGTTGTTCCTCCTCTGATGCTTCTTTGTGCAATTTATGCAAGTTTTGTTCAATTTGTTTCATTAATGTTTTATGGTCATTTTGTAGACAAATAATTTGTTGACGAGCTTGTCTAACCTGATATATATCAATATCAGTTCGAGGAAATCCATTTTCATCTACCAGTGGTCCATTCATACCAACGTTTCCGTTCTATTAAAATAATGAATTTATATTATTATAATTAAAATAGATTTAACATACTGCCTCCAAAATTAAACCATTTTCTTTAATCTTTAATTCTAAAGCATCTCTCATGGACATCAATTTAAGAACTTCTTCTTTAGTGGCTTGTGGTTGTGATATCATTTTTATATTTTATTATTTATATTAGAACAATTTGCTTGCACGAAATAGATACGCTTTGAAGTTTTTATTTAGTAAGTGATGCCAACTTTGTTAAATTTGAATGTCAGCGCTAAAGAAAATGGTCATTGATAAAAAACAAACATCTTAATATTCGTCGTTAGTAAATAAACAAAAAATAATAATTATTTAATATAGATACGATATGCAATCGCATTGACAAATTATAAAAATTATTTTGAGTTAGAACATTTGACATGTTTAGATTAATGTGTCAACATAATAAATTTGAGAAATTGAACTACTAGATTGGCCGAACTTAGATATATGTAGCTCGAATATTTTTAATTATTATTATTTTTGCAAGAGTTATTATAAATAAATATTTAAATTACTTAAATAAAATTCATGTGAACTGAACGGCACTTTTTCTTATAGTACATTCACACTGTTTAATTTAAGCACCTGGTTATATATGTATATATTATTGAGTGAATGAGTTCACATTATAATCAGCTCAGTTATGCAGCTGATAGAACTTTTATAAACTTCGTTTAAAAAAAAATTAAATATGTAATTTAAATATTAAATTATTTATATATCAATTACATATTCAATTAATAAAAAGAAAGATTTTATTATTCCTCAGTGTCTTTGTTTACAGCTCAACTGTTATTTGTTTATATTTCACGTATAAAACATGTGACATATATTTCAACTTTTGGTAATTTTCCTTGTGGGAAATTTATTTTTGAAGGTTGCACTCGAGTTTTTTGGTCTTATTTATAAGAAAGCTCTGTGTATGATAAATCAACCTCATTAGTGACAATAAGGACAGTGTGAATGTGCGATTATTTCATTTTTTTTTTCAAATTTTATCTACTTATTTTGTTTTTCTTCTTAGTTTTTAGTACTAGTAGTTGGCACCTGAGTATATCATTTTAGTATGATACATATCATTTTAGTTTCAGCTAAGTTGAGCACTGACTGAATGCTTTTGTAAATATATAAAGTTTACCTTGTATTTGACTTTTGTTAAATTAAAAATTATGTAATACTATGAGTTATTATTCTTAAATTTTGCACTATAAAAGAAGAAATAATTTTCAGATAAGGCTTATTATTAACATTAATTTCTAAATGCAATTTGACATAAACCCCAATAGAAAAGAAATTTGTACAATGTCCAACTTTTGTGAAACATGGATGTTAATACTAAGCTTAGGTACACATAATGAAGACAAGTTTAGTTATTATATATTTAAGTAAATTATATTAACTTTTTTATATTAGTTTAAATGAATTTAAGTTTTATTTTAATGAGATTATATATATTTATAAAAGTGACGGCATATACACATATATACACAACATATACACTATTAATATAAGGAACATGTAATAATAAAAAATGGAATATCTATTGTGATCAATATCAGTTTACCGATATCAAAGAATACCGATATTATAAACTTGACAGTTGTTATAGTTCGTATGCCGAACTTTTCGTGCAGTAGAACAATTGGACTTGTGTACCGTTTTGTGTGGCATTTGTTTTATCCGTTTATTAATTTTATAAATAAAAATTTTATTTCAATCAATTCATATTTTTATAAATTTATTGCAGAAGAAATGAACAGAGAACTTAAAAGCTTTTTTAAAGTAGATTGAAAATTAAAAAATAAAAGTAATAAAAATTCGATAACGGGTAACGAATGATACTAGCAGCTGACTTTACTGAATATCGATATGCCGATATTTTAGTTTTGACAGTTCAGTCAATCGTATTCTGATATTTTTGTAGTTTAGAAGAATTTCGTTTTTGTGTTTGGTGTTATGGTTAGATACATCGTATAAATTTAATCGTGAGTTGTGGGAAATTACCACGTTGTTCAAAACAATTGAACCACAAACTTTGAAGGAACTTTAATAAGTTGTATTATATTCTTAAAAAAAATGAGTTATCTAAACTGGTTAACAAGAAGGGAGTCGGCACTGCCTCCAAGATTTAATGACACAAATAGTATAATGAAGCGCATATATTCCTCGGTAGAACCCTATCAAGAATGGAAAAATGAATTCGGTGAATTCAATAAATCTGAATTTGGAGGAGTATTTAATTTAGAGTTCTCTCCTGAAGGGTATTTATTAACAACAAGGAAGCTATGATTAAAATTGATGTAATTTTTATTTCAGAAATATTGTAGTCGCTGCGTGCGAAAAAAAATGTGTTCTCTTATTTGATGCAGTAACTACAAATCATACACATAAAATAATGGAGGCACACACTGACCGAGTAAACTGCGTCAAGTAAAGAATTTTATTTTGAAAAAAATTTTTATTTATTATTTGTTAATAATTCGTTTTTAAAGATTTTTGAATAACCGTATGTTTGCAACATGTTCAGATGATACTACAGTGGCGCTCTGGGATATACGACAACTTAAAAGGAAAGTTCGCAGCTTACACGGTCATTCAAACTGGGTTAAAAATATAGAATATTCTACTAAAGACAATTTGTTAGTTACATCTGGGTTTGACGGTAGTATTTTTACATGGGATATTAATGCTCTTACAGAGCAAGGACTTATATATCAAAAAGTGTTTCACACAAGTGGCTTAATGCGTTGTCGAATAACTCCAGATGGTACTAAACTAGTTATATGTACAACCGGTGGATTTTTGATGATTGTACATGAATTGGATTTAACAACTTTGCACAAAGATTTGTGCGGTTTTCGAGTAAGCTTTCACAAATACTATTATTGTGTTTAATTTATCACATTAAAACTTTGTATCTTACAGCCATTAATTTATCGACTTATGCAAATGGGAAATCAGTATATACCACAAGCAGCGAAATTTGAGCATGTTTTTTCCAAAAAACAAAAAAAAAATCGAGTCGAGTTAGTCACCGATTTTCCAGATGAAGATGATGCAGAAGTAATTTTAGCACTTCAGGTATATATACAAACTTAGACAAAGAAAACTTTAGTTTTTAGCGACTAGTTTTATTAGCTATTTCTCGTATTTCATAATTGTTCAATAACAGAAGGTATTAAATTTGTTGGTGTGTCTGTTTTTCTGCTCTGCCTGTCTTTTCTGCAAATACTCATTCTTTCTTAATAAAATTTTGCTTTGATTTTAATGTTTTTAAAATAAAACAACATTCATATAGAGGCTTTCTGCTTAAAATTTTAATATTGTAAATATTTATACAAGACGGGATTCGAGTTCATTGAACACTTTGTAATAAGTACATTTCCAATTTTTGTAGTAAATCATGTTGAGAATTTTTGAACTTTAACTGGAAGTTTTAAATTTTAAATATTAATTGGAGTAGCGACTTTTCTACTAATTTTGTGTTACTGTTTTAGCTTAACCCAACTCAACCTGCAATGTTAGATAAAATAAAACCTTCACACTTTGGGATACAATTTTAAATTACGAAGTAAGGATATGGCTTAAGTTAATATACTCTGTGGGACAATTATGTGTTAGATGTTATTAGATGTTATGTTATGTGATATTATTAGTCTTAAGAATTTAGTTGGAATACATCGGAAATAGAAGAGGTACTCTTTGACAAATAATTATTTGGCATTAGCTATACCCTGGCCCCAATTGGATCAGAACCGTTTTTTTATTTACGATATCAAGCAGATGCTCGTTGATGTAGTGCAAATAAATATTAGCCCTAGACGATGTTCGATCATTAATCAATTGTCAAATTGATTAAAGGCGACGAAACAGCTTAATGTTTGTGAACACATTTGGATGTTTATTTCTATGACATAATATTTTTGATTCTGCTTAGAAGTTGTTTAGCGCTGTCAGAATATTTATTTTGTCATATATTAAGTACGTTACTGTATGCAAATTTTAAAAATTTATTTTTTCACGTACCATAACATACAATCCTTTCAGCAGTTAGATTTTTCCGATTTATAATTATATTTAGTGAAAGATTTTGAAGAGAAGTTGCAATATAAATAAAACACACTATATTAACATATAAATTTTAATTATTGTTATACATTCTTAGATTGATCCGCAAGGACAATCGCTTCTTAGCCGTAATATATGTCACGATGAAAACTCTGAATGGTCTTGTGTTCATGACATTAATGAGGAGCCGTTTGACATTACTGATCAAGTTCAAGAATGTGGACAAAGAAAGCGAAAACTAGGTAGTGAAGCAGATGATGAAAGAAGCGAAGAAGAAACCAGTGATTCTCCAGATGATGTTCACTTTAATTTTAATCGTAGACGTCGTTTACGTTCAGCAACTAGTCCAAGAGGTTAATTTCACATAATTAATTTTATTTTTAAAACATTTAATTTTTGAAAACAGTGGTATCACCACCGCCCCCTCCACCAACATCATCTAATGTTTTAGTACCTCAAAATCGATCAGAATTATTTGTTCCGGATATATGGGCTGCAGAAGTTACAGTGCAAGAGCGAGCAATGCGCCAGACCCGTTCTCGCAGTTCAAGTTCAGTAACTGGATATAGTTTTGTTTATGCTATAAGCAGCGGCGTCTTACCAGCAACTGTAAATCGTACCGCAAATTCAAGTAATAATCCTGAAATTGTTAACAGAAGATATGTCGCAAATAGTTCATCTGAAGAAAGTCGTTTACGTCCAGGTTCTCCAAATATTCTATCGCCCCCAAGTGGACTAGTTTTCGTACCTAGAGAACCACCTACTGAACATAGACCTATTCATTTAACACCAATGCGAACTAAGGAACGAAATATTGTTCAAAATGCCAAAAAGCTAATGTACTACATTCCTGAGTCAAACAAAGGAAAAGGTTTTATAAAAGAGCCCTCTTTTTCATCCGATGGAAGAATTATATCTTCACCATATGAAAATGGTGTACGCTTGTTAGGGTTCAGTGATCAATGTTCAGAATATCCCCGCAACAATAGACTTCAGACAGTTAAACCTGAACCTATACCATTGGTGGTAATTAAAAACATAAGTGCACACTCGGATGTAGTATTGAGTACCAAGTTCAGCCCTCGTGAACCGCTTTTAGTTTCAGGTTGCCTAAGCGGCAAAGTAGTTTGGTATCATCCTAATTTATAAGTACATGATATAAAATGACAATATATTAAACATGTAATATATATATATAAACATATATATATATATAGTTTTCCATACTTAAGGAGCATGTTGTAGTTTTTTAATTAAATAAACGTTTATAAAAGAAATCACTGTTATGAAGTATTCATTTGCTTTTTTTTTACGACTATTGTCGATAATGATTTGATTTAATAAGTAATTTTTAAGAATAAAACGAGAATCAAAAACACATGTTCATAACATGCAGATTGTAACAAATACGTGTCCACCAAGGAGGAAAGTATCAGCGGAATTTCATAGAATTTCAATAGGACGTTTATTGGCGCATTAGACTGATATATACATATATATAACAAACACCGTGGTGTAAGTAAATAACTCGAAACTTCTATAACTAATATGGACTAAATTTAATAAAGTTTGCATCTAACATTGCAAAAACACAATTAATTTTTGTTTTATTTATTAATGTTGACGAGGTTGGTTTCATAAAGGTTACAAATTTATAATTATATCAAATCGTTTTTAATTTAAAAGAATTACATATAAAAACCTTTTTCAACGCAATTATAACGAAATCAAATATCGAATTCTAGTTGATTTGTGTGCCTTAATATAATTTACATGGGTCATCGGTTTTATGTTGTTAACACATACGCGACATTGAATGTAACATTTATCAGCAAGTGTTATTGTTTAAAATAGTATAATCAATTTTTGATAATAGATTTTTATATATATAAACATAAGTTATTTTATTTCTATTTTAATAGTAATTTCCATAGCCACTCCACTGTCCATAACCGCTATAATTGGAACTATATTGCCAATGATTATAATAATTATCATAAGATTGAGATGGGTAAGTGCTGTTACCCTGTTGACCATAGTATGCAGAATTAGCGGAGTTATAGTTATAGTTACCACCCGAGGTGGACCCATTATTATAACTAGATTGGTTTGCTGAACTTGAGGCTGTGTTATCTTTTGCATGTGATTTACGGTTAGGACTAGTTTCTCTATAAGAATAAGAAAAGAAAATTATTAATGTTATTTTTAATGTTGTGAAATAGATATAACAAACCTTTTTTTCTTCGTCTCATTGCATTTGCTGATAGCTATTTGTAATCCACGTTGTGCATCTTGTAAACCTCTTGCTGTGCTGCCAAAATCTTCCAAAAATTCTACTTTACGCTGAGCAAACATAACCTTCTGTTCTGGTTCAATATTTTCACGTGCCATAAATTTATCCATAATCACAACAACCTCATTTTCATCGACTTTTGGACGCTGCAAAGCTAAATCGATCATTTGTAACACAACACGTGTATTTTCTGGTTCACGTTCAGAGGCTTGACGTAAAACGAGCATTGCACAATCAAGATCATTCATTATTTTGTTTAAATATCTTGCAAATTTAATACTCAAATTACTCGATATAGTCTTATTTTTTTGATTAGATATATATTGTTCATATAACTGCTTGCATTTTTCAAGATCCCCACGGCGTCGTTCCAAATTGATGCGCCTATAAGATATTTGCAATATGTTTGGACATTTAATTTCTAGATTACAGAGTACTTTAGCGGCAAGATCATAATTATTTTGACATTCCTCAAATGCCGCCCACATCAAATGTAGATTAGGTTTATCGGTATGATGAATTTCACATGCACGTCGAAAAACATCCGATATAATAGCAGGTATACCTGACTGATCCATTTGTGTTTCTAAATAACGTATCATTTTAAGCCAAAACTCATCATACAATGCACAAGCAATTAAACAACGTTCAAACAGCACAAGAACACGTTTTCTGTCTCCTTTTTCGATTTCGAAGTCTAAATAATCTTTCCAGTTTTTCAATTGGCAACGCTCTAGCGGTTTAACATGAAAATAAGGTCTTTTAATACCTTCCTCAAAAGTCCAACGGGCCGAAACGGCAGCAACAGTATTTTTGTGTATTTTCCTACGTGATGATATATATTTCTCTTTGATTGCCGGTATTTCATCATCGGTAATTGTACTTGGATCAGAAAGATTTGTTTGTAATTTTAACGTATCATCTTCTTCGATGTTATCAATATCTTTTTGTGGCGAGCTTCTATCCAACTCAACAGCATGATCTTTTTTATCATCCTTTGTATTTTCTTTATCCTTTTCTTTGGAATGACTACGACGACTTTTAGAAGAACGTGACTCACGAATTTCAAAACGTAACTTTTTTAATTCTTCATTGTTTATTACATTTGTAACTGCACGTTCATTAATGAAATCTTGAAAACTGAAATAAAAAAATAAATTATTAATAAATAATATATAGATGAAAACACAAAAATTTACTTTGTGAAATGTCCACTATATCCTTGTGTTGGAATTGCGAGAAGGCGATCATATATTTGTGATACGTTTTGAAAACTTTTATTGTCATTTTCCCACTTAATGTAAGCATCCCAAAGTTTGTCAGAGCGAAACTCCAATCCGCAAGCATCAATTGCACGCTCAAATTGGGAACGTATGTAGTCTTCATCATCTGGATGAGTGCTTTTGACATGCGCTAAGTAGTGTATCCATAAATCCACGGAAAGGGGTATTGCATCTAAGCCACGTTCGAACACCTAATTATTCATTGAAGATTTGGAATTGGTTATGCATTTGAAGTTTTCATCCAATTTTAAAATTGTTGAGTGTGTTGTATAAGAAGAAAGAAAATTTATGCAAAAGTTGAGTTTACAATATGTACTTCACACATACTTAACTTCAGTATTTAATGCAGTTTTTTGTGTGCGTTTCAAACCTTGATTTTAATAAAAATTTTGGATATGACAAATACAATAAAAAACAGAGTTTCTCTTATTATTACTTTGTTTTTAACTATGTATGCATTACATTGAAATTTTGAAAGTTTTATTCAGGATATTATGTGATTGTATCAAGTACCAAAATAGATAAGAAACTAAGAAGTCAAAATCTACTTTAAATTAATTCTCTTACATATGTATCTATACAACAGTCAATTAGCGAAATATCTATAAGATATACAGGTTGTGTAGAAAACAGATAGTTATATCAGCTTGTTTTAAGTGATTATATCATTTTAACATCATGAAGAACAGTTGTTCATTATCGATAATGGTACGGGTTTGGATATCTTGTTTTGCTTAATAACTTTAAGACAATTTACATGATATCGAATTGATAAAAAAAAAGAACGAATTATATGCACATATATAGCTTTATGCATGATACTGAAGCTTTAAGTAAGATTCAAATGAACATTCGATTAAATTGTTGCCATGATCTTAACAATTGTAATTTTTTACTGTTGTTGCCCCAAAGCAAAAGTACGATATTTGATTATATCTGTCATAGCTAGTTTTAAGTATAATTTAAAATCTCAGTTTAGCTATTTTTCAATTACTTATTTTAGAATAACGAGAATCATTTCGGTTAGCTTTGGTTGCACAGACGATGCAAAGGTTTCGCATAACAACATTTTGTCATGAGAAGTTTTTTTTTTAATATTATATGTGACATTAGGTACCATTTTATTTGTAATAAAAACAGCTGATAACTATTGGAATGTGTTTAAATATGTTCACCTATATAATAATTTAAATTATTCACATTTTGATTATTAAATCAAAGTCAAAAACACGCACAAATCACAATGAATTCACAGAATATAACCTGCTGTAAGTGAAAGATATATTATAATTAAATACAAACTAACTTAATGATATTTAATATAACACATACAATAATTAATTTCATTTATTCTATTTGTACTTACGAATATGCAGTAAACGGGTACTTTGTTTTTTTTTTTTTTTTATTTATAAATTATGCGCTGCATGGAATGTAGATCTGACGAAAAAAACTCCAAATACAAAATATTACTAAACCGACCCAACCACAGAGAACCACAAGAGTAAAATATTCAGCCAACCGTTTAAGCACCAAATGAAATTACTTTTTAAAAGTTTAGATATTTATGTGCAGAAAATGTGATTTTTAGGAATTAAACAAACACATTTTGCAATTAAAAGTTTCATGTGACTTCTGTGCATAACATATAATTAAAAATTTATTTTAAAGGCATAGCTCATTAGAAATATTTTTTAGCTCTATTCTTTCATTAATAATAACAAATTACGTTGTGAATAATTTGTTCAGAATAAGTCAAATCAAATCAGTTTCGCCTTTGCAAAATGCGAAAAAATAATGATTTCTCTTTTAAGTTTAAACACAAACCAAATTTTGTTGAAAACAATATATCATACTATACTTTTATTTAAAACTCGCATATATCAAATATTAAAAATACAAATATGTATTTATATTTTTCTATTGTGCACAATTATTGAAAAAGAACAATCCATTTACAACGAATTATAACCTAACGAATATTTTGAAAATAGTTTTCAATAATAAATTTCATTTTATTTTTATTAATAATATAAAATTGTATTATAATATATATATATAGAGTACAAAATATTGAAACTGTATTTGATTGAATTTTACATTTACTCACCGCATTACAATTGGCTTTGATACCCTTACGCTTCTCATAGTCTGCATATTTACGCCAGTAACCATAACAATAAGGATAAAGACTTAAAAAAGCATCATACGCTTCTCTAGCGGCTTCTGCGTCTGACTAAAATATTAATTTAATTATATTTAAAGATACACTCTAATTTCTAACCATTAAAATAGTTATAAAAGTGGTTCAATTTTACCTCATTGTCTACATATTGTAACAGATATGTCCACCCAGTAAAATCAGTAGTATCTTCCTTAACTGCACGCCAATATTTATCTAATTCTGGTAGTCGTTTACGTTCCTTTTCTTTATCACGCTCTTTTTCTTTCTCTTTAGTCTTTTCGCGTTCTTTTTCCTTTTCTTTATCCTTCCTCCGATCCTTAGCCTCAGTTTCTAAAATATAATAATATTATCTTTAACAATAACTAATATTTATAATTTAAAAATTTACCGTCGGACTCAAGTTTAGCTTTCTTCTCAATGGGTGGTGCATCATTACTTTCGGAAGTCGGACTCATAGGATTATACTGTTCATCTGATTTTTTTTGTGTAATTGATTGATTTTCGCTATCTGTATCATCGGCCTTTCGTTTGTATATTTTTTGATCCGTTGTCTGCAAATCAGTTTTTAAAACACGTTTTGGTGAATCACTTGGAGATTTTCTTTCAGCTGCACTGTTTGCCGGCAATTCATCTTCTGATATAACTTCGGCATCGGCTGGTAGTTCGGCCCGTTTAGGCGCAGGTAATTCCTCATCTGATACCTCTTCAGCGTCATTTATTTCTGGTTTGGTTGGTAATGGTAATTCGTCCTCTGATATTATTTCAGTATTAACCATGGTAGCGTTGCTACCATCATCTACACCAGCAATATCTTCAGCTATAGCTGCTTCAGTATTTGATTCATCTGATTCCATTTTCTCACAACTAGAATGCATTGGGTTTTCTATTTTTGAATCGAAATCTTCTTTCTTAATATCATTGTCTTCACAACCACCAACCGACGGTAAACTATTTGCGTTGTCTCCAACTAGAGATGCGAGTAATGAATTTTCAACTACACCAGAATCATTTATTTCCTCAGAAACCTCTTCAACTTGCGCCTCATCTGAGGTTTCTGAATGACCAATAATGCCAAAAGGAAAAGACGAACTTTTTTCATCGTTTGCAACAGTAACTTCCGAATTTATATGTTCGTCATCAATTACGCTATAGATCTCATTGTCGTCCATATGTTGTTGATGTTCAACTTCAACAACTTCTTCTTGATATATAACACTCTGATCATCAGTTAAATTTTGGCTATCAGGATCGAAAATGACTGCATCTTCACTATCAACTTTGATAACTCCTTGTGCAGCTTCGGCAAGCATTTCTTTTATAATGTCTGATTGTTCTACTTCGGATTCGAGAGTCTAAAAATTGAAAATTTAGAATTATTTTATGTACCATAAAACACATTATTGAAAACTACATTCGATCCAAAAAAGTTTCATAACTCTTATTATAAAATTACTTCTCTTATTGCAGAAAATTATTTAATTTAAATTATGTTTATAAATTTTAAATTAATTTCATAAGTTTGCATGAAAATGCAAAAATAAAGAGCTGTTAACTTTCAAAGGATCATCTGCAATATCAAAAATTTGACATATGCTACTACATTTCAGTTGGCCCTTGCAAGAAATCATCGGTTTTCATATACGAATGGAACAACGCCGCATTCGTTAATTATTTGCAGGTTTTTCATCATAAATGTATAACATTAAAATTAATATAATTACAACGTTAAACATTCTATGTAACTGACCTGATCATGCGCCTGTTTTCTGGTGGATCGTCTTGTTGCACGTACCGGTGAACCAACTTTTTTACCAGAACGTGTGCGCCGTCCTGTAAAAGAAAATTATTAATTGAATATTTGTTATGTGAGATACATAAAAATGTCATTCATATATAACACCGCACACGTTGTACTACACGCTGCGAATCATATTAGTTATTGCTAAATACCAAATTCTAAAGAAGAAATTAGTTGAGTAATTACATCGCAGAATTCAAATTAGTTAAAAAACAAACATTCAAACATAAAAATTCATAATGAAATTAATATTTTACCAGAAACGTTTTCCTCCTCGCTTGCAGACGCCATATTTACGCAACCTTCTTTCTTTGATAAATAAGCTGTCATGCTTAAATAGTATTACCAGCTTGATAAAATTTAAGTATACGTTTGTATACTACTAGCTGGATTGACTACCAGACTTCACAACATGTGGCAGCGCCAGAACAAAATTATATTTTGTATTACTGACAATGCTTAAACGACAGCTGTAAGAGTTTCGACTTTATCAAATGTTTGGATAGCTTCTTGCAAATAATTGAAACAGTGCACCTTGGTGATTTTCTATAAAATGGAAAAAATTGAATATAGTCCAGTAATAAATGATCTAACCAAATTGGAAATGGACCCTGTTTACAGCAACCTTGCACAATCCTTTACGTCACTTTTTGTTTTGCTTTATTAGGTATAATTTCATTTTTACATGGTTTTCTTAATGTTAGAAACTTACATTAATATATGTATATATATACAGTTAGATCTTAACATACTTAAGTACTCTTCTAAGAGTATTTAACTTTGTGATTAGGGATATGATGAAATTGAAGTTAAAGTTTTAATTACATTTATGAGTTTTACGCCACTGCCTCAAATCCGTTTAGGCGCAATAGTACGGGACGCGTAGAAGAGCTGTGCACAAAGGCATTGAAGTACAAAAGAATTAGATCACAGAATTTTTATAGAATAATTTTTACAGATTTCTGTGGACTGACGTTAAATTTCGCGTCTTTACTAGCCATAAACAACATACTATCATCTGTTCGTACGTGTCCATGTCACATAGAGGCCGTGGGATGGATATATCATATAATGCCATATTTCTTCATTCTATCATAAAAAGCAAATAAAATGGTCCGGTAATAACTAAATTTGATTTAGATTGTATTTTACATAGTATGCGATATAACTGATAGATGTTTACGTCTACAAAATATCATTAAAACAGGTATTGAGTTTAGCAGAACTTGAAATTTTAAGTAAATTTTCATTTTGTGTAACACTTCAGAGTTATAAGAATCATCTAATGTTTCACTGAGTACTGAAAAAATTGTCAGAGTTGATCTCTTGGCAGTTTGTTAACTCGATAACTTAATATCACAAAAACAACTTCACTAAATACCTTACAGAGTACAAGAGTATTTCCAAATATCACTTATAATTTAACAACAGTTATAAGTTTTTTTAGTTTAGTTATCATTATTTGCATGTTTATAATGATATTTATTTACATATATAATAAATGGCCATAATATAAAATATGAAGGTCATACATATATGAAATTAAATAATCTCATTTTAATATTTGTAATAATTATCAATGAATTAATATATATTTTTGTATAAAATAAATAAGTCTTTTTTTGAGTAAAGTGCCAAATCATAAATTGTACTACTGAAATATATATAGAACATTGTCATATTTGAGTATACAAATAACAAATGAATATATGTGATATAATACGTCATAATATCAAGGCGACCATATATATATGTCACAATCTTAACGATGCTGTGAATAACCTTTATATATATACCTTAATATAATATATAGTGCTTTTTAATAAATTTGTAGCATACATTTTTTTCAGTGTAAAAATGAATAATCTAATGTGAGAGTTGAATGTAATATGTTATACTCTTGCGTCGTGCGATGAACGTCCGCCATTTTAGTTGCTAGAAAACATCTCACAACTAACAGTCGTGGTAATTTCACTTAGTTTTAATGCATATTTAAAACGTATTCCATAAACTGAAAATATTAAAAAGTGTTAATTTATATATTTAAGAAAAATTGTGTGATAAAACTATTTTTGCAGCTACAGAATTTAGTGAAAAATTACGGGTTCAAAGTTCATATTACGCGTTCAGAAAAGTGTTAAACAAAGAAAATTCCCAGGTCTGGCAAAAAGTTCATTTAGTTCATCACGAAAAAGTGAGTGTGTATAAGTGGGTAAATTATAATGTTTGATTTTTTTTATACAAAGGAGTGCGCGCGTAAATAATGCATGTATATTCAGCGTTTCTTGAAAAAGAGAAATGTATTTATCTGTGAAGTGGATGATTCATATGTTTTGATATTTATTATCACAAACAAGCTGTTTTTAAAATGAAAAACCGGAATATTCACATGACGATATGATATTCATAATAAAAGTTGTACCAAATAATTTAAGAAGTGGGAAAAAAGCAATTCTGAAGTATCATTGTATGATTCAAAATTTGTTCCAAAAATTTGTGATAAACAGTATTTCATATCCATATTTGTTTTAATAAAAAAAATGTGTGAATGTGGCAGGTAGTTTCACCGAGCGTGTCGTTTTTACCGCCAAAACTATATTCTTTTAAAATTGAGTGATCCGTTAAACCTGCAGGTTTTATATAGTCTATTTAGTTTTTAATGACTTTTTTATGCTGAAAATAATTAAATATATTTTTTATCGGAAATTAATTTTTTTTTAATAACGATTTCAATAATTTATAATTTTTTTTATTAAATATATTGTGTCTTGTATAATATTGTATATTATACATAAAAATATATTTTTTGATTTTGTTATATTTTTGTGTTTACAATTGAACTTCTGACTCTTAACCATCACATAATTCAGCTCTGTTGGATGAACAAATGAATATGAGAGCACACTCGACATTTGCTGTGTTTCCACCACAGCAAAACAAAAACAAAATTGCTCGGATAGCATTCACTTCAGTGTTTGACGTTCTTTTTGATAGATACTGTTGTGTACCTGCACGAGAAATATTTAAGACTGAGTTTAGATACATAATTAATAATAATAAAATAATAATAAAAAATAATAAGTTTTTAAAAATCATTAGATACATTAAGGTAATATTTTGTAAACGGTAATTTATTTTCTCATTAAAATTAAGTGCAATAAAAATAAAAAAAAAATGCAGAGGAGCAGCCGTCATTCCACGAAGAAAACAAAGAAAAAAGGGCGACGCCGCTAGTATATAATAAAAGTAAATAAAAGAGCTAAAAATGAGTCAAGCAAGATGTGGATTGGGTTATTCTCAACGGTATGGTGATGTTGAAGGCAATAATATAAGCAATTCATCAGTTGGTAAAACAACATCAACGCCAACTTGCTTTTTAGCGGAAATGTTTATTTGCTTTTATATACTAAGCAATTGTTGCTTTTTTTTTTTATAAACTTAAAAAGTGGGTTGGAAACCAGTAATTCAGTACTACACTTATTAAATGTATATGTATAAATATATAACTATTAAAATATTTTTATACATAAATCTTATCAATACATTAGGTAAAGTGATAGTTAATTACAGCTTTTATTATTAATGATTTTATTGATATGCATTTATGTATATAAAAAATAAAATAGTTTTTTTTAATACACCATATATACATACATATAACAGCAGATGCTTTCTAGTCTTATGTATGACGCGCTAATATCAGAAAGAGGTTTATTATAGCCATTCCATATAAATATATTACAAGTAGATTTTTACTTTACTTATTATATTTATATAAAGAAATTTTATATTAAGATTGCTGGATTATTTGTAAAAATTTCAGGGTTAAGGATCTAGTACTCCAGTTGCTTATTCTTAGTTAACTTTTAAATTAATTTTAGTATTAACTCACAAATAAATAATAATAAATAAATATTTGAAATAATTAAGAATAGATAAACACATTCTATTCAGTCCGATCAATCATATAAAGTAGAGTACTCATAAATATCTCTCCCGTTTAAATAGTAAAAATTCTAATATCAAATTTGTAGTTCCTTGTTTTACTGTAATTTAACATCAGTCTTTTTAAATCCATATGCACAACATTTGTATCTAATAAAAATATTTACCATAACCGGCAATGAAAATACACATGAAAATAATTACCAGAGCCCAACAACATTTTCCATGTATCTTGGAATCCAACATCTCTCTCTCTATAATAACAGAACAAATAGAAAAAGAAGAGATTAAAACATTTTAGACGCCTACGTGTTATTTGAACTAAAACAAATGGAAATGTAAGCAAAATAAACAATTTTACTTTGTTTACTTTGTTGAGGGAAAGATAAATATATTATATATGTGTAGTTTATGCCAACAGATGAGTAAATTATTCATACAAAACTGATAAATATGTTAAACATTTACAGTACGTGAACAATAGTTATTGCACATCCAAATTGAACTCAAAGTGACACAGTCCCCAACTCTAATCAGTGACATTACTATTAACATAGCAAAACTTAACTATATAAATATCTAAACATATAAAGTCTAACATAAAATTACTCATAAATCTTAAGAAGTGGGAGATAAGATTCGAAGAACGGTCAGGTATATTTCTTGGAACGACACGTCTGCACAGACGCATAAGTGCCGTTTGGTGTGAAAGTAGGTATGCGAAATTTGAGGGAGGCCAAGATTCAACTGGGATCGTTGCACCACTAATGATAATGATGATGCGACATTTTTGTACATTTAACAACGTGCATATAATTTCTAGAAGACATTATAGAGTAATTTACAAGTAATATGTACTTTTAACATAGTTTCAATGTTAACTTTAAAAGAAATAAAACTTTAAATCGATATTAAAAATTTAGGAGTAATATCATTATAATATATTGATATCTCTGAAATTTCAGAAGTGTTCAGTAAAATAAAAAAATGTAAGAGGTGCGTTTTTTTACAATTGATCTAAAAAAAATGGATTATTTAAGAATTATGAGAAGCCAAAATATCTTTGTTTTATATAATATCCACATTGAAAGATGAAGTTAAATACTTCAAAATATTACTTATGATTAAGGTACACGCATCAGTAGTAATGTAAGGTCCATATTTAAAATTTTTTAAATTTAAGAAAAGTACTAATTATAATCCAACTGCTCATATAAGAATACAAGAGCAGTAACACTCTGAGGTGGACATTTCAAAATTGTTTAGTCAAAAATCATTTCATCTGGGCAAAAAATTCGCCTACACAAAAATCTAATTAAACCCATTTTACAGAAAAGTAGTGATTATTATTTAGCTGCTCATATAGGAAGGCAATATCAAGAAATATGCCGTCAGATAGATGGTATATTTTGAATTCGTTACAATGCCTAGACATAAACAATTATATATCAAAACGCCATCAGATACATTAAATTCTAAATAATATTTACTTTACAATAATTACAATTGTAAATAATTACAAAGATACAAAATAACAATTACTTATGCTGTGTGTAAGTATGACCTATTTGCCAAAGTATATTATTATATATTTTTTGTTGCTATTCGATTTCTATAAAAAATATATAATTTAGTTTGTCTTAGCCCGCTGTACTCTTTCTCGAGCGGTGCTTTCAATTTTATAAGTATTGATTGATGTATTATTTATGGTGCAATGTTTTTTTTCAAATATTTAACGGCGCGTAGTATCTATCGAAGAGAATAATACTTTATTTTTGAACCTTATTTTAATATAAAGTAATAATAGAGAGGTTTTTGAATTGTAGTGAATTATAAACACAATATATAATTATTTGTAAATAATTTAATTTTTGGCCTACAAGTCAAGTATGGCTTTGGATCACTTGACTATTTAACACTGACTCTAGGTTTAAAATTTTGACAAGTTGCAAGTTCAACCCTTGGTACTTTCAGTTCCAAAAAATTATTTACGAATTATTACACATAATAAATAATTCCAATAAAACCAGTGGTGATGGGTATTTGCCAATACACTAAACAGCTCTATGGTCAATAAAATTATGAATAATAAAAATTATGTTGTTGTAATTCACTACTATTCAAAAACCTATCTAATACCTCTCTCTATTTGATTTTAAAATCAAATTTATTAATTCCATTTATAGAAGTTGTTCATTTTTTTGTTGCATATAGATATATTTAGTAATTTTTTTAACGTGGTTATTTAAATGGTAAAATAAAAAAAAATTTTTTTTTTATTTATAACTATAAGAAAAACTCAGAGTAGCCTTTTACAAAACTAGTAACTAAACATATCCCAATAATCTTGAAATTAAAATATTAATAATTCTCTCTCTTATTACACATAATATAAACTACAAATAATAACTTTGATATTTACTCCGAAAGTGTATTGCCCTTACGAAGCAGTTTGCAAAAGACTATGTAAAGTAAAAATAAAGTAAAAAATAGAATATGAAGATTTATCATCATTCATATGCTAAATTTTAAAAATTATAATCATAATAAATGTTCGCCAGACAATAAGGCTTTCTATGAAGATAATTTAGTTATCATATTGACCATAATTCTTTTTCAACATTTCTATTACTTATATATTAGAGTTAATTTATTCTCATCTTATCTATTTGTAATTATTTTGTGAGATTAACTTTATTTCCGACGATGATATTGCAGATGATACGATACAAATAATGAATTTACTTGCGATTGCGAGTATATAAATAAATCCAAGCATTTCTTCTTCATATTGTAGAACACATACAAAACACAATAAAAACAATTCAGAATAATTCAGTCTATGTATAATCATTTAACCTTGTTGTTTGGAACTGTAATTTGTAATAAAATTGCTTAAGTACATAGATAAAGAATACCGCGCAGTTGGGACAAAAAACAATTTACGTCACGATTTTTGTACTAATGTTTTTTTTTTTTTTTATTAGCACATATGCACATTTTTATATACTAATGTATCTATGTATCCCCATTTCTCATTCTTTTATGTAAAATTTTACTCAGTAAATTAATGAAAAATTGTTGCAAAAAGAAAAATAAATTGAGTAATAATTGTTTGGATTGTTCTTATATATCTAAATGTGTGTAAAAGTATTTTCACTTACTTATTTTCTCTTCTAACCGACTAATGTATCTCTCCACTGTTGTTTTTTTTATTAAAACGCATTTTAACTACGTTGACATTTAAAAATAATAATAAAAGTCAAATTGTTTACATTTTTTTTCTCGCAAATAAGTTGTCTCTTATCAATGCCGCGA